AGACGAATGGATAAAAAAAATGGGGCATATATACACAATAGAATATTACTCAGCAATAAAAGAGAATAGAATCATGGCATTTGCAGGTAAACGGATGGAGTTAGAGAAGATAATGCTAAGTGAAGTTAGCCAATCCCAAAAAAACAAATGCCAAATATTTTCTTTGCTATAAGGAGGCTGATTCATAGTGGGATAGGGAGCGGGAACATGGGAGGAATAGATGAACTCTAGATAGGGCAGAGGAGTTGGAGGGGAAGGGTCGGGGCAGGGGTTATTAATGATGGTGGAATGTGATGATCATTGTCATCTAAAGTACAGGTATGAAGATATAAATTGGTGTGAATATACTGTGTATACAACCAGAGATATGAAAAACTGTGCTCTATATGTGTACGAAGAATTGTAATGATTCCACTGTAATACATAAATAAAAAAATAATAATTAATTAATTTTAAAAATGACCCTGGTGCCCCCTTATTACTCTTTTAATTTGCTTAGAAGTAAGCCAAAATACTCTGCCAGCACAAATCTGAACCTATAAAATGCTTAGTGGTTGTAGGATTGTCTAGGAGCAGGTTTGACTCTAATGTAAACAGAATAAGAAAAAGAATTCTGATCCTCTAACTGCTTGAATATGGATTTCAAGATGTCTCCAAGTAGAATGAAAGCTATCCTGACTAAAGCCTGGAGCCCAGGAGGATCCTGATGACATAGAGCGGCAAACTGTCCTTTTGACTTCAGCCCTGAAGTTAGCTAAGTAAGTAAATTGGGGGGGGGKGGGGGGGGCTGTGCCTTGAATTTTCTCGCTGCGTCGCATGGCATTGACTTTACTGAAATTGACAGCAGGCATTTCTAAATAAAGGTCATTGACCTTTTAATCACTTTGTGTGTGGCAACATGATTTTGTTTGGGGCATTTATGTATTTTTCAGTGCATTCTCTGTCATTCTCCCGCTATCATTTTCCATTTCAGGTGCTATTTACAACACCCAGAAGATAAGAAAAAAATCAAGTCCGAGTACATGTGCATGTGGTTATACATATGTACATATCTGGGGTTAGATAGTAACTGTGTAATTATTTAGCCTTAGAAATAATGTAAAGTAGGTAATTATGCTATATTTAAAGAACTTAAATAAAAATAAATTCTGCTTTCCTGGATATATAAATTGTATTAAAAGGCTTTTTATTCAAAGCATGTTCCCAGAATTTAAGAAGATGCCTGGCATACAGGATAACAGAAAAGAAAAAAAAAACAAAACTTTACCAAAAATAAATAAATCTGTTAAAAATCTTGCTTGAATGATACAAAAAGATAAACTCTGCAAATAAGAAAGTTCCTAAGTTGTGAAAAAGGTAAGAGGCAGAACCAGTAATTAAGTTCAGGTCAGTACATTCATAGTTTCTACTAACCATTTTACAAAAATATCATAATGATCCAGGTGACTATCATTACTCCTATTCACAAGTGAAATAACCAAAAGACTTGAATGAAGCCATCAGGTCCAGGTCATTGAACAAGACGCGGTGATTAAGAATTATAATGTACAGACCAGGATGCATTTATTTTTGTCTTTTTAATTCTAATACTTCTGGAAGCTGCAGTTGGGTCCCTGGTGAAGAGTTATTAGAAAGGAACTATTTAGGAGAAAAACATGGTGCCCCCTAGCCAGACCCAGTGACTGTGCCATGTTTCTCAGCCGTGCTCACCATTCAGACACACGCTACTAAATATTTCAAGCAGCACAGACAGAAAGCAAAGCAGAACAGCTTTCCTGCAGCAGACCCCAAAGACAATGTATTATCCAATTCAATAAGCCTTTGTAAGAGTGGCATTTTCACCCATAAAGCAAATAATACAAGGAAACCCAGTTACATCGACAAAATATTGCTCATTAGATAAAGTTACAACTAGAAAGATAATTATTTGAATACATATTTTAAGTTGGTTATTTTTACCTCTGCCTAATCTAATAATGCCATTCACAAATTTAGTTATAAGCTGAGGACCATTCCATTATAACTACAATATTTCTTTCTCCTACTTTTTCTTTCTTTTTCTTTTTTTTTTTTTTTTTGGTTTACATAGATGGAAGGATATTTTAATTTCCTTGTTTGACCACTTAAAAAAGTTTTTGGAATGCTCCATAACTTATGTGAAAAGACATACATCTCTAAAATATAACATGTTAATTTATCGATCACTCACCTAAACCAGACTTTTTTAATCGTTTTAAGTGTTGATTTGTTTGTTTTCCAGTGGGAGATTTTTGCCCATGTTTCATTTCTTTATCTGAACTGTCTGCTTCACCATTTTTAGATTCGGATCCTAAAAAAAGGAAATAGTTATTATGCCATTATCTTCCTCTTGCTGTCCTTGAAAAGAAGAATCTAAAATTGTTTTAGGAACCATAGATACAATCTTTCTTTCTAAGAGTTAATATAGTACCTTTGGCCACAATCTGATTCCCTTACTGGATAGAGAGAGAAAAGCCCAATAAATCAATCAAACAGGACCAAAAGCAAGAACAGATGGCTTAATAGCAGAAATCAAAAACTCAGTTACTGATCTGATAGCTTTTAAAATAGTCTAATCTTTTGTAAAAATCCATGAATAATCTTGAACAGTACGATGCCAGTGARAGATGAGACAAAACAGAGACAGAATGATGAGGGAAGAGGGGATTCCTGGAGAAAAAGAGAGATCAGACCTTTATGAATAACTTTATGTTGAAGCAGGGACAGAAAATGCAAACATTAATAGGATAATAAATACAATGGTATACAGCTGAGAAAATKACAAGAGGTAAATTGGAAGGAAAGGTCAGGGCTGCACCGAGGTACGAAGAATGTTACTAGAACACAAAACTAATAAAGGATTCCAGATTTTGCAGGAGAGGATTGAAAAACAAAATCACACTCATGGCAGAACTGCTTTTGCTAGTGTTTCAAATAAGCATGTGCTTCACCATTAAAGTTCAGCAGTCAAAAGCCAAAGCAGCAACAAAATCCACCTAGATTCACCAGTTATTTCCTCACACCTACTGACAATAGCAAATGAAGTCATTTCATGATGACTTCATTTCTTATTTTTTTTTAAACTGAGTAGGACTCTATATTTTTGAATCACTGCAGAGTCAAAGATATGAAAAAAAAATAAACCAAACCTCAAGTGGAAGGAAGTTAAAAAAAAAAAAAATCATGACATCTCTCTCAGTGAGAAAGTCTCCTCTGAGAAGAAACTGGCCAAGCATACAATATTGTAGCTCTTTACCTGAAGGCGGATCCGACTGCTCATCAGACACCTTTAATGGTGTCAAAACAACACGAGGAACAGTCTTGTTTACCATCATTGAGACTCCATTTCTTCTTTTCTGCTGCTGCCTCAAAGCCTATAAAACATGATAATAAAATATAACATAAAAATGTAGCCAAAATGATTCCTCATAATTGAATTAAATGATCCACTTGCCCATCATTAGCTCAAACCTCTTATGAGACTTACATTCCACAGAGCCCCTAATTTGTCAGGATTCTTAATAGACACCTTCATATAATTTTCCCTCAAAAGCATAAAATTGGGCTGTGGCAAAGGGTATAAACCTGAGACCATTTCAGTATAATTCTGACAATAAAGCAGTACTTAACRGTTTGTTCTACCTTAGCAGTGTGGCTTGAGAGCCCATGGAATTTGAAACTGTGACTCCCACGTAAAATAAATGTAAAATAAATATTTCAAAACCAGGATAAAAATATATGTGTCTGCACTCCTCTTGCAGGTGCGTCGTCTCCAGTGCACGGCTCAATCAGTTAACACCGAGTGTCATCAGTATGTACAGCATGTAAGAACTACAGTATTGATGCATTCACTCAGCCGTGGGGAGCGCTGCACAAAATCACTGAACATGGCAGGAATCATTTATTTCTGTGAAGGGAATCAGTCCTAATCTTGGAAACCTTGCAGCATTTGGCTTCTGTCTGCTTGACTTTGGGCATTAACCTTCAGAACACGAACAGGACGGGGTTCTGGCAAATCCAGGGGAAAAAAAAAAGATAYGAGAATAAATCTGTCCAAATGGGAGTGCTTTGTGTTTCCTAAATGATCGACCATGGTGATGATAATGTAATAAAAGACATTTAAAAGTTTTGAAATACAGCTTTATCTAACTGATCGCTTTATGCAGAAAATTACCTGTAATAAAAAAAAGGGGGGGAGGGTGTCTTAAGCACATGAAGCGGAAGAAACATTAAATTCACAGTTAACAGGAATGCTAAGACTCCTCGAAAGGTTAAAAGGCTGGCCACAGACGGTATGAAGCCTTTTTATTCCTGATTTCTGTGCAATTTCTACCAATTTTACAGCATCTCAGTTACTTGATTAATGATCTCTGACTAACAGTTGTCAGAATTTCCTGAAATACTGCATCGACTGTATATTCCCTTGCTGTCAAAAACGATGTCAGGTTATTTGCTCAGGGTATTAGCTAAATGTTCAACTTGTTGACCATAAGATTTAGCAATCAAGTAATTACAGAACTGAAAACTTAAATGCCACATAAATGAGAGAAGGCAAATTCAGACAAGAGTTAAAGCCAGATGAGAAAGAAAGGCTGGGGCAATCTATCATAAATGACGCAGATACTGATGATTACACAAGACATGTTCCCTTTGATTCTYATGCTTACAGAGCTTTTAAAAAGTATCAGGCGCTGTGGGGGGACAAGAGCTATAAAGATTAATAAGATGCTATCCTTCTCACCTTTAGCCTGCTGTCAATAATATGGCAAATGAGAGCATATGTGCTATAAAATATTTAAGACATTTACTCTTTCTTCCAAGGAGTATACATAATTGCACATAAATTGTGCACATACTTGCATAAATCTCTCTAGCCCTGTTTAAGAACTCAAAGCACTTTATATACATTAACCTAACAATCCAATAATGTAACCAAATGAGGTAACACGGTGATTTAAATTATAATTAATTCCACCTTTGTTCACAATGTAAGACTTCACAAAAGTACAAACAGGAGTAAATTTTTAGAAGTTATGCATTACAGATTATTCAACTATTTCTCCTGGCAAAATATTATGCCCTAAAAAATATTCAGTGTGCATGTGTGTATGTGTGTATATATACATGTGAAGTCACAGAATTTATTTTAGATAAATTTTGAAAAAATGAGAGAAACAAACTAAAGGTCTAGAATCTACAATCAAATATCAAAGATGGGCTGGGCATAGTGGTGCAGGCCTATAATCCCAGCAGCTAGGGAGGCTGAGAMAGGAGGATCTCAAGTTCAAAGCCAGCCTCAGCAAAAAATGAGGTGCTAAGTAACTCAGTGAGACCCTATCTCTAAAAAAAATACAAAATAGGGCTGGGGACGTGGCTCAGCACTCCAGTGTCCCTGATTTCAATTCCTAGTAACCCTCCCCYAAGAAAAAAAATCAAAGATGATATGCCTTTTTGAAGGATTTGTGGTAAATAATAAATGAAATAATGAAAATTCAGACTCAATTTCTAGAGCTGAAAGGACTCTAATATAAAAAACTTAGCAGAAATAAATCATGATAGAAAAAAATTTAAAAAGAATAAAAAAAAGGAAAAATTTTAAATTTTAAGGTCTGACAGGATAAAAGAAATTGCTAACCATTGCCCATTTGCATGATTTGTTTTCTGAATATGTACTTCATACTTAGAAAATTCAAGCAATAKTTCTCAACACAATATTTTTTTWWWAAATTCTGTCATGCAACACCAATTGCTTATATGGACAAAAACCAAATGACCATCATGTAACAAAAATTAGTATTCTAAATATATTAAAGTATTCATGCATATTTTTGTTTTATCTCTGACAAATAAACATTAAATTTATTATTCCTAAATGATATTTGTAGGGGCTTAAATAAGCGGAAGCTCAGAAGTGTCTCTTATTCTGACACTAGTGACAACAGTAARGCACAGGCAGTCAGCAAACTCAGGCAGGTCAGAGCTCAGTCATCAGAATAGGAAAGGGGCATCTTCATTTTGCATTCTAGACTTACAGTCATGTTAGAGTGAATCTGTGGTCATTTTTAGGAGTCTAGCTCACTTTCCTGGAAGCAAGATTCACTTGACATGCCAAGATTCACTTGGGCATGGTGGTGCAGGCCTATAATCCCAGCAGCTAGGGAGGCTGAGACAGGAGGATCTCAAGTTCAAAGCCAGYCTCAGCAAAAAGTGAGGCRCTAAGTAACTCAGTGAGACCCTATCTTTAAATAAAATACAAAATAGGGCTGTGGATGTGGCTCAGAAGTTCCTTCCAAGCATATCAGAATATTGACTGAGGGAGAAAACCAAGGTCACCTCCATTGAGATGCCTGGGACCTTCTGGGTGACCCTTCTCAAGAACACTCGAACACTTCTGTCTACGAGGCTCCTGGTCTCTTGTAGTGGAGTGTGCATCCTCCAAGTAAAGACCACTGGCTGTGTAGAGGCTTCTTGGTTTTTTTTTTTTTTTAATATAATGTAACTATGCTTTCAACTTCATGCACATCAACTACTCAAACATGCTGCATATCTCTTTTTCAAAATCATCTAAAAAATCATGGAATCCCTYTGGGGCCATGGTGACCTGCAGGTGAGAACGGAAGAGACTGCAGTGGGCAAGAACACCCCACCACCCCCATCAGAATGAGCTGTTGCTGTCTAGATTTTTAGATGAGCTTTCCTGTTTTGAAATCATGTTATCAGACAAACACAGATAACTATGGGCCCAATTCAGTCTAAGGGCAGCCACTTTTAATTTCTACTAAATACCATTCCCCACCATCAAAATAAACAAGTTTGCACAATGTAAGTGTTAAACTACCAAGTATGGGTACTGGCTAATATAGGTCTTCTAMGGTGCTGATCTGCAGAGAAACTGGGGACTCAGCAGAACTCTTTTTTTCATTTGTTGGTGGACCTTTATTTTATTTATTGATATGTGGTGCTGAGAACTGAACTCAGTGCCACACACATGCTAGGCAAGCGTGSTACCATTGAGCTGCAACACCAACCCCTGCAGAGCTCTCTTAATGGCTGTGTGGTACAATGGTTACAAGGTTACAGAGGCAAAGAAAGGCTTAACTAACTAGCTTTATAATACTGGGTAACTGAGTTGGACAAATGTCCCTAAAAACCCTTGASAAAAGTGTGGGCAAGATGCTTCAAACAAGAAAGCTACAGAATAGTATTTTRGCACAATTTATAGCACAAAGTAAATACTCAATATATGCTGTTTTGACATTTCTATAATTTATCCATGTTACAAAAATAAAATGATTTTTTGAGGATTTATTCTGCTGAACTACCATGGAAGCACTGCTGATTCATGGTACTGAACATAACAAAATTTTATTTTAATTATTTTATATTTTCATGAAGGACTGACAAGGAAATGCATAAAATAAGCAAAATAATTTCACAAACACACACACACACACACACACACACACACACACACACACACCAGTACTAAGAATATTATGCCATTAAAAGTAAAGATAGTGGAGTGGGGTGTGGGAACAGGTGAACTAACCTGGATTAGGAGGTCAGAAGAGGCCATGCTGGTGGTGACAAAGATAATGAGACCCCAGCAACAAGAAGAACCCAGTCATATGAACATTGTGACATCTGTCATCAGTAAATAAAGCAATGACCAAACCCCTAGCAGGACAGGTCTTTGGTGGTTCAGGGAATGAAATGAAAACCAGGGTGGCTGTGAACGAGGACTAGGAAATGTACAGAGATGGTGAAGAACTACTCTCAAGATGGCTGCCCAGATGTCCCAGAACAGTGGACATAGGTTCCTTGCAAAGACAGCCCTGTGAATCTGGTCCTTTCCCCACAGCTTGACATCACCGTATTTGCCCTTCTGCCCAAAGATGGAGACTAGGCACAGAAAACAGGAAGCCTGGGCTATCTTCCAACAAACACCTGCTATTTGCCTTTATTCGTTTACTTGTTTTATTTATATGCAAAGGCTGTATTGTATGAAATGCATGGCATCTCACACATCAGACAAGTGTCTTAGTAATTCTCGATCATTTTGAGCTGTCCCTTCTATATCAGGCACACGTATACCCTTTACATTAGCTCTTCTCTCTGGTTGATACACTCTTCCCTCAGAAACCTGGGCAGCTCATTTCCTCACATACTTGAAGGCTCTGCTCAGAACACATTCCCACTGTATCTCCATCTCCACCACCGACTGTGCTTTATTTTTTCCCAAGGACATATCACCTTGTAGTACACTGTAAAACATCATTTTCCCCATCCTGGAAGGTAGACCCTACAAAAGACACGGATTTCTTTGCTTTTTTTCACTGACATGCACCAAATATATAGAAGAATGCCTGCAATG